GAATATTTTGTTTATGTATATAAAGCTAGGTTTCCTTCTGTAAGACATATTTGATGATTTAGGGGAATTTATTGTTAGGCAAAATAAAAACGTTTTCAAGATTTATTGTAGCAGTTTTCAATGGTTTAATACATTAAAACCCAAAATTTTGAATTTTGTTTGTTTGTTTGAAGTTATGCACAAAGCTACACAATGGGCTATCTGTGCTCTGCCCACCACGAGTATCGAAACCCGGTTTCTAGCGTTGTACATCCGCAGACATACCGCTGTGCCACTGGGGGGAGGGCTGTTATTTTGAACTCTTGAGATAGTTGACTAGTGTTTTGTACTTCATATTATAACTTTACGTTTAACTTTTCCTCAGAAAAGTGAATTGTTTATTTAAACTTTAAAGACAGAGTTTTAAGTATTTGGATCTTGACATATTTTGTTTAGGCTTTAACATGTAGTTTTGCTAACCCTTAGAACTGTAACTTAAAATTAATTTTGAGGTTTGTTGAAATATAACTTTTGTAACTTTATTTCAGCATATACTAGGGTTTTACCCTACCCCCCAATGGCACAGCGGCATGTCTGGGACTTACAGCGCTAAAACCTGGGTTTCGATACTCGTGATGGGCAGAGCACAGATAGCCCATTGTGTAGCTTTGTGCTTAACTTTAAACAAACAATACTAGGGGTTAATTTTCACTTGCAGGTGAGACACACTGAACCAATAAGAGTTTTTGAATAAAGTTTCCCATTTTTCTTATCAGTTTGACACACACCACTGAACACTTGCGCTTATTTGGATTTTATTATTGTACTGTTGTTGTGTGTGTATAAATAAACATTAGTGTATTCATATTTCTAGTGGTATCAAGTCTTTCTTCTAAATCTCTGCACACATCTCTGGACCTTCAGATTCAAGATCATGTCTGTCCCCAGTACAGTATGGGATGTGATGACAAGGTGTGCTATCATACGTCACATCATCATGATGACAACGATGTCACATATTATCATACGCCAATCATCCCTTTGAAAACTTGGCTTGAAGATATCACATTACCGAAGATGTTTACATTTATAGACTTCAAAATGAAATTAACTTCCAGAAACATTTTGGTCAGATTTTGGCAGAGAAGCTGGTAGTTGAAGCCTGTGAGCACCTTTCATTAGTGAGGTAAAGCAGGTAAAGTTTTCAATGTTCAATGGAATAGCAAAGGAGGAAGATCTGGATCATTTCACCAAACATTTTAATTAAGTTTTTGCTTGTAATGGACTCAGGGACTGGTGGTGCAATGACTGATGTTGAGCTTAGATGGTACAGTGATCGATGTCCTAAATCATTTAGATAAGGAGGTATGGGTTTTACCCCTTCATACCCTAGAAACGAGTGCAAATTCGTCTATGCTGGTGGGCACTTCAGATTCCAGTTATCACAAGGAATTCACGTTCTTAATCAGAATTTTAAAAAAGGAGAGCATCAGAAAGCTTTGTTTGGAATCAGCCATCCAAAAATATCTCTCTGACTTGCAGATTCGGTGTTACATTATGGATGGTAGTCAATCCTTTAGCATGAATTATAGTTGGTAGGGTGCTACTATCTGCTTACCTTCCCTATGGTCAGAAGCTGAAAATTAGGGATGATGGCAGATAACTTTACCACAAATACAAAATACAAATACCACAGAGTCGAATAATGCTTGTAAATATTTCTTTATTGTTCATTTAATTCAAACTTTTATGTACCAAGTTTGAGGTAAGAGCATCTAGTATATGTCTGTTGGAATAAGGGCCAAGAAGAAAGGAAAGTTATTTTGCAGATGATTTAGGCAGGATCTTCATGACGAACAAGCAAGGTTAAAATGGACAGCAACTAATTAGTTCAAAGTGACAACTGAGGAGAAAGTCACGGAGGACTACTCTATATCCGAGCTACTTTTGTAAATTAGCATTCCAAAGGTGTTTCCCCTGGTTAACAGCATTTTTGAAAATAAAGCATGATAGCATGGAGATTATATCACCACAAAAAGGGTTTCACTTAAGCAAGAGGCTGAGAATTTCCGAGATCACATAAGAAGGTATCTTTAGAAAATCTCAGTGAGCAACGTCTAGTACATGTCATTATCATCCATGGGCCAACAAGCAGGTGAAACAGCCCGAAGCATTTGACCAATCTCAACTTCATTCACAAGTAGGATTTAAAAAAGGTAGACTGAAGCGACTGGGCAAATGCTTACTAGTTTTTGTCTTGATCAAGAACTATTCCTAAATGAACAAGAAGCTGAAACATACAGGTAGACAAACTTATGAAGTGTATGATTAAAAAAAAAATTCAGTAAGAGTAAATTTGCACTAGTAAGATGTGGCATACCAAAATCAAGCCAAAACCCAGTGCTATATTACTACATTGGTGTAGTTGCTAACTGTACCAAATTACTGTAGATCTCGAACTAATAATCAAGTTTTACTACTACAGAGGATACAACAAAATAGGACATAGAGTGGTTTATCTGGGGGCTTTAATAAATGAATGCATGGAATGTTTGGACACAAAATGAAGTAACATAGTATTTTCTTCTTACCCTGTAAGGTCCAACCGTAGATGCAATGGAGTATCTGAATGAGTACCAGCTGCAAAGTTGAAAAGTTCAGTTGCAAGTGGACCCTGTATATAACTCAACTTTACATAGTGCGGGATTTAAGATTTGTAAAAGTAGACCTATTTGGAATCTGGCTGATAAAGCAGAAGAGCTATGCCATTGGAGCATTAAAACACATCCAAATATTGCTATGTTATGCCATTTGTATATCCAGGTGGATAAAATCGGTAAAAGTGTGCAAAATGAGCCTATGTGGTTTCACGTGTGAGTAAGAGACATTATTACTCCTATAGATGCACTATTTGTAGCATTAACATTTAAAGTATAACGTAAATTAACATGCAAGAGTAGAAAAATTATTAGTGGTTACTATTGTAGATTCACCTTCAACTAAGTCTTCCAAGGTGCACACACCTCGGAGAGTGACAAGCATGTCTTGTGCAACTAAAGTGCCTGCATATAATACCCATCACACTTTGACAGCAGTGTGGACAGCATCCTACTAAAATTCATGTTTCCACTTCTCTTGAGTCGCTTATGGTTATGGAGTTGTAACGCGCTGGAAATAAATTCCCACTCCTGATTTCCAGGTCTAGTGTGAAACAACACCTATATGGTCAGAGACGGATTGTAAGAGCTGCCAGATAAACTTATTTAAAATAGCTCTTCTTAGGTTATATATGATTGCTTCCATGAAAAAGTAGCAAACACACTACATTAAGTCGGTAGTGATCACATCTACGGGTATTGATATGTGCATGTACCGATATATACATAACTGAAGTAAAGTTTTGGTAGACAATAGATCAGCCAGAACATCATAGAAAAAACCAAGAACAACGAACTGGTGACGAAATTACACAAAGAGTGTTTCAAAAAATGCTACAAATACAGTTTTAAGTGGAAACACCTACAAATGCAATGGTGAAAACTTATGTGGAAAGAATTGTTTAATGTTTGGTCACAAAGATAAACCCGCCGAGACAATAATATCTAATTATGTAACTTGTATTGGAAGAAAGAGAATGCTGTTATTATCAAGAAGTAAACTGTAGTTTCGTATGTTTTTGCTACCAAATAATTCAAAAGAATCCGCCCAACAATAGAAATCCTTATAACAATATAAATATTTTCGATAAAAAGAATTCATATTTTGGCAACATTATTGTAGCTTTTTAAATGTTTTTCAATATTAAAATGTGAACAGTAATCAAAAGTGTAGCCCCCCCCCCCCCGTGTTGCAGCTGTATGTCTCCAGATTTACAATGCTAGAAACCGGGTTTCGATACCTGTGGTGGGCAGAACACAGATAGCCCATTGTGTAGCTTTGTGCTTAATTACAAACAAATCAAGCGTATATTCTTTGGATACAACGTTTATGCCGTTATCACTATCGTTACGTTCGTTCTATAATGTTTATCTTTAAGTTTGTAATATCTTGTTATGCCGTTATCACTATCGTTACCTTTGTTCTATAATGTTTATCTTTAAGTTTGTGGTATCTTTTTATGCCGTTATCACTATCGTTACCTTTGTTCTATAATGTTTACCTTCTTACATTATATTACAAGCAAAAGTACCCGTCTCCAGTGACGGGAAAAGTTTAAGTTAATCTATCAACTTATATTATTTGATGAACTTTAAAATAGGTTGATTGTATTGCACTCTTGGTTTCACTCAGAGCCAAAGCTCTGAGCTACTTATACCGCCCACCGTGAAAAGTAATTGTTGAGCATTTCAGTCATGCTAAGAGTCGTTCAACAATAACATACAGGAAATCTACATTTAATTTATTAAGTTAAGTCACACTTTGAAATGTGAATGATAGTGTGATTAATTCCTAACAATTTAGTATAGAATATTCTGCTTTAGAAACAAAATTTGGCATCAATATTATTCATACATATTATCCCGTTATTTCAAAAGTGAATGTTTAGGTTTGCCTGCGCACGTAGCTTTTCAAACTCAGCGCAGGACAGACGAACACTTGGACAGACACTATGGTTCGCAGTATACATTAAGATGTAATAAACTAAAAACTCACGTGCATCCAATTTTTTCTTTAAATTATTTTTTTGTTTCAGACTTTTACACAAAGCAACACAAGCGTTATCTACGCAAAGCCGGCGCTAATTTTGAGCCGATAGATTAAAGAGAAGGCATTCAATTAACAACGCCCACCGCGAACATTTAGCCATATTCTTGTATAATTGAATAATTACTCTTATCGTGTTCCCACAGCCTCAATTGATAGTGTTTTTTGTTGTTGTTTTTTTTGGCGACAACGGACGGAAAACCAGGAACATTCTGATTCGCCAAAAAAAAAAAAAGAGTAAGAATAAAAAAACAATATACTTAATCTAAATTAGGCTGTTGCTTTTGGTTTCAAAACATGAACATTATGCTTAAACATTTTTTATTCGACAATGTCTTGATTATTTTATTCAAACAAATAAATTACACGTGGACATTTTAGAGCCAGTGTATTTTTTTCAATCTTATATAAGGAAACTATTAGGAAACCGTCGACACTTGTAGTTTATTCATGAATGTTCATTTGTTAGCCTTTGTGGTTTTAAACTCTTCAATTGGCTGGATGATGAATTCTTCATAGTATGGAAGTTCTGCCTTCATTTTCTTGATCCACAACTGAATGTTTGAAAATTCCCCGAGGTCATAGTCAACCACCTGTAATGGAATCACAATTCTATTTCATTGACATGACTTATATATTAAATCATTACATACAGGCAGTTGCCATATTTCAAATAACACAATAGTCAACGCTTCAGATTTTAAATGTAGTTGACTGGACACCTGTTATTTGTAAATTCTTTGCTTTTATGTTTGCATAAAAAATTATAAATAACTCATTTTAGTTTTTAAAACAATTCCATACAAATTACATTATTACAGTTGTTCTCAAACATTACAATTTCTGTAAATTTGCTTCTTATAAAAAGTACTTTTAACCCTAATATCTGCGTTATAGACTTACATATGCTTCATTATATTATAAGAATAATTACAAATAAAGCATGAAAACAAAGCTTTCTATTGAAACCCCAACTGACATAACACAACATACATATTATATACATAAGTAAATAATTACTAGTATCACACAACAGTTTTTATTTTATTAAATATGATATTTCTACAAAATATTGTATGCAAAACTTACTTCAGGAAATGTTATCCCTGCGAGAATAGAAAGGTCAGCAAGAGAAAGGTTTTGTCCAGCTACATAGGGTTGTTTCTGTAAAATATCGTCCAGTATTTTTATTTTCTGTCTCATAACTTTCTCTTTTTCTGGATCTAGAGGTGCTCCACGTAGCAACGTAGGGAGCTAGACGACGAAAATAAAGTATACAAGTATTCGGAACATATAAAAGTTTTAAAGCGAAAATGAAAACAACTTTGAATGCATATCTGTGTGTTTGTGGGGTGCGGGGGGGGGGGGGGCGTGCGCTCGTATATCGTATATATATATATATTATATAGCATTGACAAATGAACAGATTAATAAACGTGATAAAGTTCGTTAAAATAATTTTTGGTCAGAATATCTTGATTACAATTTCCCAAATTTTACTAGGAAAACAAAATTTAAGACGTGGACTCGGAACGAAACACAACTTGTAGCAGCCTAAACAATTGTTCATGAGGATCTGGGCTAAATTAATCTTTTTAACCTATTTAATACTAAAAGTTGAGGAACTAAAATAAACCTTGTATATAACAAATAAAACAGTTTATGTATAGGAGTTACATTTATTAGATGTTTTTCTCACTATCAAGCAGTGTAGCTAAATTCACAGTATCACGTTTTTTAATGTACTAAAACTCAGTTTTTCTAGGCAACACAAGATTAGGCATCATGACCACTTACTATGTATTCAATAATGCTCTTGTATAATGTTCCTATATCAAAATGTAGCATTTTTTCCACTTCTGCTCTCTTTTTCGGGTCGTTTGGATACAAGCTGTCATTTGTAGAGTATTGGTTCCACAGGTAGGTCATAATTGGACGACTAGAAGGTAGAATGTACATTTTTTTAACAATAGTAAAATATTTACAACGAAATGTTTTTTCTGAAACTTTGCGCAATAAAGTTTGACTGGTTAGAAATGAACATGGTTACATAAAATCGTCCTTGTTCCTACATAAGAGATAAGGACTCCCTTCGTTACCCCACTGTATAATCAATAAAAAGAACCGGTAACTTTATGGCTGTCTTAAAAAAGTATCTGGAAAAAATGGATAAAATTAAAATTATCAAATATAAACGGACACCTCTTTGATTTGTTATTTGAAACAATTAATACATCTAAAACATCTTATTAGTTTGTTGTTATTTTTTAACACGAATATCAAATTTCACACATTTGCTAGAGTCTACAGAAGATTCATAAAGTTTGTTATTAAACGCACAGCTACACTCCAAACCCAATTTTTAGCTTATACTTACCGCTCAATCACGGAAGGGGGGGGGGGGAGCGTTAAAAATTGGTAATTTCACTGGACTTAACCGAATCATATTCTAAGTATATTTTAAAACCACCACATTAGTTTTCCAAATGACATTTCGATCATCTTAGCTGAACACGGTCTAAAAACAAGGTCAGATAAATTTTATATCAGTTGATTTCCATAAATACATTTCATTGTATTGTTCTGTGCGAAAATGGGATGAAGAAAACGAACGAAACTGGTATATTTTTCTGTCGTTCTGTTTAGTTGTATATACATTATGTTATGCTTGTTTTCAGATATTTTCAGATATCTAGAGCTATCTGCGTTAGCCGCCCATAATTTTGAATTGACAGACTAGAAGAAATACCACTAGTCAACAGCACTTACTGCCAACTCTTTGGCTACTTTTGTCATATTGAATAGAGGAAATTTACCGTCACCTTTATAACACACACATGGCCCATAGTGTGGAGAGATAACGGGAAACGAGCAGTGGATCCGGCTTACTAACCACTGGATCACATCCAGCCTATACATTATATTACTGAAAACAGTGCGATAGCTCTTTCTTAGCTAATAATACTTCCGTTCCCACTGAATGTCAATGAGAATCCCACATTTCATTGTCAGCAGTTGTCATAGACATTCATTGAGAGTCAAGAAATCGCACACATCTCAGCTGATCTACTTCTACTTAATTCCACTTTTGGTAATGCATTGATAAAAATAAAAGGGTAACTTCATATTTTATTGGAGAATATTAATACCGCTGCCTAAAATTAATCGTTCCTTGGCTCATGCAAACTGTGAAATGTATTTGGAAAAAAAAATGTAAGTATGTTATTAAATCCATTACTCATAACTACAGCCTACCACGTCCAACGTGCACGGAAAGCTCAATGCTTCTCGATTTCAGGGATAGGCTAAAGTCCATAATCTGCTTTTAATGTAAGACAAAGGATTACTTGCAGCATTGGGATTAGGAACAAATAATAGTAATCCCAAAATATTCACTGCTTGCTTTAGATGGACAGGTATAGATTTGACAGCAGCTTTGAGTGCTTTAGGATATGACTATTTCAACCCCTCTCGAAGAGGAAAATGAAAATACAGTGAACAAATACAACATTCCTCTTCCAGGTTTTCTGCCCTCCTTATGCTATATGGATTATAGCATTAGGGAGTCTTATCACTCACAAGTATACAAGTTTCAAATCGTTAGTCCAATCACAATCATCTGAGAATTTCTTTTTCATGCTACCGAGATTTGATAACTAATAAACTTCCATGTTTTTATTACAAGCAACGAAATAAACAGACCTTCACTACTTCTACTGAAAGTTTTTTTTTCTTTATTCAAAGAACTGAAAGAACAATTCCATTTTGCTCTCCCTGGAAGGTAGGTCAAGTTATAGTTGCATGGCTTTAGGTACAACAATGAAGTTTAAATGTCTCAACGCTTGACAGAATCTTATGAAATTAAACAGGAAACAGCACACACGCCTATACACAAGTTGCTGTCCGTGTAGGATGTGCTTAGGATGCCTTAATAATTATGTATTCACAAGAGAAAAAAACAGATCATTAAATCGAAAGTCGTTGCTCTTAATCGCATTTGGATGTACTTTGAGTCTGGAAATCTGAACCTGAAAAACAGAACTAATGTTAAACAGCATACTCTTTAATTATTAATATCATAAAAACAAAAAAGCAGATCCAGAAATCGAATTAAAAATTTTCGTTGTTTTAAGTGTAACAGCTCTCAACTTAGGGCAATCTGAAGCATAAACACTTGGGTTCAGATTTACGTCTATAGCATCAAGAAGAATACTTCAAAAATATTTTCAAAATTAATAGAAAATCTACAAGTTTTATTAAAAGACCCAGCACATAAAACTTACAATCATATCAATTTTCAATGCTCAAAAAGACCACAAAGGAGTACTTAGTTTTTGCTTTTAATATTTTTCTAAATATAATTTGCCACTGTATTCAAAAAATATGGACGCTTTTTTATGAATTTGGAGATTTAATTTTTACCAGTAACATCTATTACTTTAGCTGTTATCCGCCAACATTTTGAAATAATTTTCATGTAAAGTTTCAACACAGACACTAACAGAACTACTTCCAACAAGTATTTGAGAAAAGTAGTGTTGTGTAGTAAGATTATTTTTTATTTTTTTTTACAATTACGCTATCTTTCAACTTACTTAGTCGGTATGAATATCGTTTTCTTTATACAGTACGCTACACGTTTATAATATTGTAAGCTATGTTTTCAATATTTTAATTTAGATGTTAGCCAGAGGGCGAGTGACATTAAGATCAGGCAAGTTTATAAAAATAGTTCTAGAATACCTAGTAGAATGTTCGTGAATATTAGTGATCAAGAGATTTACAAAGTGTCTAGAGACAAGGCTACATTATAATCAATTAAGCATTGAATCAGATGTCAGTTAGTAGAGTGCTAGTCAAAGTGAAGTATACAGATCAGTGTTAGTTATGGCATATATTCAGTTACTGGATCGACTAGGCGTGAAATTGTACAAGTAAGTTTATTTGTAGGTTAGTCGTAGAACTATTAAGGCAATTTCAGTTGAAAAGTTAAATCGCTATTGTTGAATTTAGGCCTACAAATAGAACTGTGGACAAGTGATACTGATAGTATTGGTAGTCTGTAGCAAACGTTAAAGAAGAAATAAGCTAAGTTGTTATAGTTACGTAGACTGGACTTCGCATTATATTCACACACACACAAACACACACAAAATTGAAATAACCCGTCCAACGAAAGAACAAGGTTACAACAATAACTTTCGCACCACCATCGTCTCACCACCTTTAGAAGGTGGCACAATTGAGTCACATTCACATAAAACAGCCATAACTTAATACAAAGGCTTATCTTAATACATTTTGTTATCTGACTAAATATTTAAATTATTTTCTTAGTTTTATCATTCAGCGTTAAAAAAACTACAGAATGTTTAAAGTATTTGTGGGCCCAAGGGAAGCCAGTCCCCCCCCCCCTCCCCAGCTAAGAAAAGCCCTAAGGATAACCATCCTAGCTATATGAAATAAGAGTCCAATAGGAGCTGAAACCAAGGTCGGATTTAGGTCAAATGGGGCCTGGGGCAATAGAATAGCATTGCCCCCCCCCTTTATTAAGTACAAATGCATACAATGCATAAAAAGTCAAAAGATATATTCGATCGAGACCACTAAGTGGTCGGGGCCCTGGCATAGCTGCTCCTTCTGTCCCACCCTTAATATGGCCGTGACTGAACGATACTATAAGATAACTTATTCATGATGTTAGAAAAACACGTAGGTTGAAGAAATCTTGATAGAAATGAATAAAAAAAATCTGTAACTTAGATATTTAAAGGAACAACAATGAGTAACATATGATTATATGCAAAAACTGGTTCCATCGCACTAAGGCTAATTATCCAAAATTAGGTGGATCGGGGAGTGATTGGTATGTCAAACTCTTTACCCACGCAAAGTTATCCGACTCCAAGACCGTACGACTGTTTTTTGTCAAAATTGATCGCGAATTTTTCTTTTCTAACATACAGCATGCATTTAATAAAGCTGCTAATTGATTTTTTCAAAGTTTTCCCAAGACGAATGACCTAGTAGTTTATTCACTGGACCTACAGAGCTTCAGATCTCCACTTTAACCACTAGGTAATGGGTAAGAACATAGTTTGTTCTGGAACTTGTGTTTCACCAAGTAGAAGGTGTCGCTTTTTTGTGTTTTAACCATCGCTTGCTGGATCAAAATTATATTTTATGGTATTTAATAGTAATAGATGAGTAAATGTTTCTTCTTAATAAATAAAATAATCAATAGTAACAGATGAGTAAATGTTTCTTCTTAATAAATAAAATAATCAATAGTAACAGATGAGTAAATGTTTCTTCTTAATAAATAAAATAATTAATAGTAACAGATGAGTAAATGTTTCTTCTTAATAAATAAAAGCTTAAGAAAATCTAAAATCATATATGTTTTGGAAAATTATTATTTTAGTTAAACATTATTTTTTGGGATAAAAGAATAATGATGAATATCTGTTCATATGTCAATATTTTGCAGGTGATTTACAGCTCTACACATCACCAACACCCTCACGTAGCAATTTTATCCAGGTAATGCTAATTTTAATAATTAGGACAACTTGTAAGAGGCCCATTTTAATAGATTTTAAATAAAGTTCGAAAAAATGTTTGTATAAACCAAATACGTTATCTCACCTCTCCCACAAGATGAAGCCATTGTCATCAATTGTTGGGACGCTGTGGTTCGGGTTGATCTAGGAATTTGAATAATATATAAAAAAAAGTTTAATAACAAAAATTAATGTTTACGTCGAAAACATAAAAAAATATTTCACTTTAGTGACTGAAATTCCACGAAAGTTGATGAACTACGTTTTACATGTTCGGCTTTTTCGTTTAGGTATCACTCCATTCCAGTAATAATGATAATTAAAGTTATACTTACTTTTAGAAACTCTGGTTTCAAGTGTTCTAATACTTTTATCAGAACCTTTTCAATTGAACTATTGTAGAGTTTAAAACACTTGCTTGAAAATGACAACCAAATCAATAGATTTCTACTATTTGCCGATCAGTCCTCCATGCCGAGCGGTAGAGATGGTCGCCAAACACTTGAACGTTTCTTTGAACAAGAAGTTGGTAAATATAATGGCTGGATTCATTTATTGATTACTTTTCAAAAACGCCTCAATAAACTCTGGATTGCTGATGTCCAAAGTTGATAAAATCTCTGTAGGATTTATATAACAAAGGGTTCTGATTTTGACCGCTAAAATGAAATAAGAAATTTTCTGTTAGCGAAAAATATTTGTGAAGGACTTGAGATCACAGGTGCGCTAACAAACTAAGTCCGTATTAGTATACGAACTCTCACTGAAACGTGGAGTGTAATAACCGTAGCGGTGACCTATTCAAATCAAATGCGCATGCTCTAAAGATAAGGAATGTTGTCCGAAGATTTTTCTTTTTGAAGCCACGTGAGTTCGAAGAAGCGAATAAAAATAGTATAGTGGCTAATTCCCATCCAGGAAGTTATTCATACCACACTTACTTTTTGATCTTACAAAAAAGATCAACACCTGCGTATCCTTTATTCAATTTAAACGATAATAATGAAATACTATTGGCTGTTTCTTTTTAAAATATGTTAAATTCTCATATTTAACTAACCGCTATAATTTTCAAAAAATTGAAACGAGAATTCACAGATAAGAAATTTAATCGATATGTGTCTAAGCTGTTCCTGTCTTCTTTTTTTATCATTTTACGTAGTTCTGTGTATTATGTATTAGGTTTAAGCACACATCTACAAATATTCTAATATTTACTAATATTTTGATACAAAATTATGAAAAGTGTATTTGGTCTTTGTCTCTGAGTAACTCCGATTAACAACGTTAAAAAAAACAATGTTGTCATTTTTTCTTGCTTCTGTTAAATTAATGTTACAAAGTAGTTTTAGGCAGTGCACTCTGTTTGCTGAAAGAAGAAATACCTACACAGCTTCACCGCAATTATGACTACCAGACGAATATGGGGCATTCGGTTAAACATGCATTCAAAAATATCAGGTTAGAGTAAAAAATATCTGAATGAATAACAGTTTGAGAGGTAGAATGATTAATATCTAAGGTTCGTGTTTCTAGCGTATTGATTTCACATTTGATAAACTTGTGTTTTTTACATGTTGCTTTTGTATGGACACTTCTGGGTTATTTCAAAATGTAATCTCAAAATACTGGTTTCCAGCAACTTAATTAATTTTACTAAGACTATTCTTATAGCTACATTCGCTATATCTGTGTAAATTTTCTTCTAAGTCTCCGAAGATAATGAGATAAACTACGGTATTTAATTCTTAGAATATGTTGATGGAATTAAATAGGTATTACACTGTAGTTAGTGTTTATCAGGTTACTTTAGAGAAATACCACTTGATATGTCCATGAATATCTGTGAGTTGTTCTCAGTCAATAACGGTAATCAGTTTTGTTTGCTAACCTGTAGATTACAAGAGTAGTAAGCTAGTATGCTATTAATGAAAAAAAAAAAAAGAGTACAGGTAAGGATTTTCTTCTTTTGTATATTATTTCAAAGCCATTTTCTTTTACATCATCTTACTTTATAAATGCTAATAACTTAACAGGTAAAATTTTAAATATACTATAGGTTTCATCGATGTGTATTAGATAATTATTTACTTTTGTTTATGTCAGAAGCGGTATAAGAGGAAGGAAATTATATTTTTTTAACAAAAATGCTGTTATTTTGTACGATAAGATATGTTACGTAACCCAGAATATGTCATTGCTTATACATGGACAAACCTTGTCAACATTGGTAGAATATAGTATTTGTACAGGGATTTCGGTTGCATACATTCGATAAGGATTTTCTTTTATTCAATTATTTATTTTTATGGTTCTATGTGATATCATTCAACATAACCTGAAAGGCACAGATCTTTCCGAAAACAAGACACAACTTGATAGAAACGAAAATTTTATTTCGAATTTTAATTCAGAGAAGGTGTTATACCATCACAAAAAGCAAAGAAAAACAGTAGTCCAGGGTTTGTTTGTTTGTTTTGAATTTTGCGCAAAGCTACACGAGGGTTATCTACGCTAGCCGTCCCTAATTTAGCAGTGTAAGACTAGAGGGAAGGCAGCTAGTCATCACCGCCAACTCTTGGGCTACTCTTTTATCAACGAATAGTGGGATTGACCGTCACATTATAACGCCCCCATGGCTGAAAGGGCGAGCATGTTTGGTGGGACGGCGATTCGAACCCGTAGATTGCGAGTCGAGCTCCCTAACCACCTGGCCATGCCGTAGTCCAGGGATAAGACTAAGGTTTAGATTCGTGTAATGAAATTATATTAACTCGTATTAGATACCAAAACGCATACCATGACTAACCGAGAACTTCAATTTTGAGCAATGTCAGCTCTCACCTGCTCAACTGCCCTTGATAATGAATCTATATACGACTTTAGGTGGAAAATAGCTTGGTGTATTTTATAGACATACTCACATCTATCTGTAAACGTCATTTCGACAGAAAGTTAGAGGGTATTCAGCACTCAATAAAATTTCTCTCTCAAAGTTCCTTATCGTCTCAGCAGGATTAGTTGTGTAATTATATCATACAAGCTTATATTAGGTAATAAACTCGATTCATCAAGAATATCCGAAAAACTACTTTCGAGCAAAGTCATCTCTCTCCAAGTTTAAGTGCTGTCGCCTGATGGAGCTTGGTATCTGTGGATGAATAGCTGAAACTTTCACCAAACCATTTTCCACACCTAAAGTCAGATAAAACTCCATATGCTATTTATTGGAATCATCACTTCATTAGCACTAAACATTCGTGAGTGTATCACGGGGGGGGGTGCCCCCTGAAACTCGGAGGGGGGCCCCAAGTGGCACTTCCTATGAGACATTTCTAGCCAAGCCAGCTTAACTTACATACGCAAATTATACTATAGCATAGGACACTCAGCTGAATTGGGAGTCACCCTTCTTTGCCCTATCTGAAGACTTTTTGATGCTTCTGAACATTCGTTCATTTTTTGTCAATAAATTGATGTTCGTCTTAATATTTAATTGTCGAACAGCATCCGCCTATATCGCATATTACCTATTATTCTTAAATCCACATCTAATATAGCTCAGTGTACTTTTCCCATAACATAGCAAACACTTTTCTATAAACTTTTTATCACACTGACGTCCTAATTACAGATGGATTTTTGGCTAATCGAAAGCTAAGAAAGAATCACAGAAGAATCAAGCACAAAAACCAGTCGATGAAGAAAAAACGCACTCGCATAAATACACAAAATATGACATTCGGAAAGAATATTTCTTTATTTTCAACAAACGCTTAGAAACCACTCTGACATTTGCAAAAGTATTATATAATTTTGAGAATCCATATAACATGCATAATTTTTTTAAAAACTGACAAAATCCCATATCTAGATGTCACTCATTAACAGACCAAAATACATAGTTAAATAGTTAAATGTTATTCACAAATTGTCATAAAAAAAACAATTATCTCTAAAAGCACAATAATATATGACTCGCTTGATATAAGTATATAAAAGTTTAGTATATAAATGACAAACACTAAAAATTAAGCAAGAAATGATTAAAGTTTTTTATAAACCAATTCTATTTAATAGATCACTTGCTGTAAAACAAAGAATTGAGTTACATAATTTAACTGGTATTCTAACTAAGTTATAAGTGAATTAAACTATTTATCCTACCTAGTCAAAGTGAATGTGGCAATAGCAACTTTTAATCTGTTAGCTGAATATTTAGAAAGCTGTTACAAATGTCATTAAGAATTACTGACATTTTCTGTTGAAAATCAAATGTCACTACAATCATAATCATACCTGAGACACACAAACCCAACAGAGTGTAATATCTATAGAACACTTTCTATATATATAGTGCTACGTTTTTCTTATGAAATCTCAATACAAACAGATACATAATATGTGTGAAATGACGTGTGGAACAGTTCTATAAAGTAACGTGCCAAATTATTTTCAAATATAACAAACAATCTATTTTATATTTCCTCAATTATTAAAAAAAAAATCGTGTGAAAATCATTTCCTTTACCTTCAAAGTGTACATTATTTCTATTTACTCCTGCGACAACTCTGTTCAGATCAATATTCAAATATATTAGAAATATTTCACAGATATTTAAAGCACACGACATAATTATGGTTTCAAACACAAAATACCACGCATATCTCTCTATCAAACGATATCTGCCATTGTTCATTTACAAGAAGGCTTTTTATAGATATATGTCGCATTATCTGCATTTTCCAAAGAATCATACTCGTGACTGGCTTTGCTGTGTACTCTACATTGATTATTTACTCCTTTATCATTATCAAATTCGAAAACAGCAGACTTGCAATCTTCTAAACTCATGCAGTAACTTGCACATGCTTCCAAGGTTAATCCACTTTTTGATTTGCCAAGTATTTCATGATTACGGAAACTTTTCTTTTCCAAAATGTCGTAATTTTCTGAAAAATAAAAGAGAAAATATTTCTCATTTGAAATAAAAACAAGAAGTGAAAAACACCATAAATATATTTTAACAAAATAATGTATTTGTTTTTGTAAGAAAAAAAGAAAAAAAAAGCAAACTTTTACGGTTCGTTTTGGATATTCGCGCAAAGCTACACAAGAGTTATCTGCGCGAGACGTTCCTAATTTTGAACTGATAGAAAAGGAAACTAGTCAGTAATACCCAACACTAATTTTCTTGATGCTCTAATCGAATAGTGAGATTTGACCTGCACTTTTATAACGCACCCATTGACTCAAAGTGTGGAGCGAGAGTTTGTGGTAACTGGATACAAATGTTGTCACAGAGTGTAAATTGTGTAAATGCTATCGGATCAAATCATTTCTTTATATGTACAAAACAGCCAGATTAGAACAAAGGGAGCAGCCTTGTAAAGACGTCGTATATAAAAAGAGTAGACCCCAGTGGTACAGCGGTATGTCTGCGGACTTACAGCGCTAGAAACCGGGTCGGCAAAGCACAGATAGCCCATTGTGTAGCTTTGTGCATAAATTCAAACAAACAATAAAAAGAGCCAAGTTATATCCTGCAATGTTAAGATTGTTTGTCTTTAGTGTAAAGCTACATCCTGGGCTATCTGTGCACTGTTCACTATAAGGAATCGAATGCCGGATTTTAGCATTCTAAGTCAGCAAAGTTACCGCTGACTCACCGAAGCATTTAACATTTGAACTTTTTAGTAAGTAAATCAATATATTTTTGACGTAGTGAGTATTTTTTATTAACTATTTAAGATATTATAATATTATAAGCTTATTATACTTACTGCTCGATTGTTTTGCAGCAAAGCCACAGTGGGCTTTCTGCTGTATCCAGCCCGTGGAATCGAACCGCAGATTTTAGCGTTGCAAGTCTGAAGACTTACAGTTGTCCCACGGTACCAAGTCAATATAAATGGGAGCATCATAATGATTTATATAATGCCCGAGCATTGAAGAAATTGAATTAGTTTCTTGAGCTTCATATTTAAAATATAAATAAACTTAAATGTATTAAATATACAATTCTGTATATTATTAGATTAATATATTACAACAATTCATTAGAACTTACCTTCTTGACAATTCTTTCCACAGTAGCCTTGCTTACAAAAACACTGATATGGATCGAAAACGTAGTTAAGATCATCTTTACAGGTACCTCGGTTTTGACAAAAATGATCAAAACAGCCTACTATCTACAAAGAAGATAAAAATTTAAAACTGGATTGCAATTAACTTGGATGTATCTTAGTACATTTATAAAAAGAAAATTTGCCACATTATTTTAAACATGATCCATGCTTTCAAATCGCGGGGATGCGACAAATAACTTACATTAACTCACATTGTGTGTTTTTGAATTTATTTGTTTATTTTTCCAGCGAACTCTTCTCACAGTTTTGGAGCCAGCAGGAAGAAATTTGGCAGACGGAATCGGATTGGCTATGGGATGTCATTATCT